GTAGAAGTTTTAGGAAGTGCATCAAAGATTTTTGTAAGTCATTGTACAGAGGATCCCAATGATTTCTTAGATGGCAAAACAAAAATTATAAATACCTCGTTGATTGTGATTCATTTGATCATGTATTTTACTTCGTACAAAGGGTAAACGGGTCAGTCAGATTTTGCCCTAAGCCTATATAAAATATTTAAAATTTATATCGGCCTATTAGTCTATTAAATGCTTGGTTTATATGTTTGAGTTGATATATTGTAAAAAAACAAAAAAACCTAACATGTCCTAAATAGATCAAGTCAAGCCAAGCCAAGCCTAAAATAAGAACTTAATAGATCGTTTGACCCATAAGAAGCTAAAAGATCTACTACTTTAATTCCTGTTTCAAAAATGGATAATTTTGTATCTAACTATATAAAGGCAGCGCGGATCTATGAATAGGGGATATTGTGTGAGTATCTATAGGACCTAAATTATCAATAGGCTCTCCAAGTACATTGAAAATTCATCCAAGAGTTGCTCCACCGATTGGAACACTTAGAGGATCTCCTTTGTCAATCACTTCCATTCCTCTCATTAGACCGAGGAGTTATTCTATGGATCGGTCCTATATAATTGACAAATGCTCCCTCTCACATGCAAAGGACAAAAACGGAAAAGAAAAGAAAAAGCAGGGGTAGAATAGTAAAAACAAAGTGTTGATTGTGAGTGGGACCACGAAAATATAAAATGGGCCGGGATCGTATAATTTTTTTTCCATTAGACCATGTATAGCACTCATATATAAGTACAACTATCACTCGATTATTTCCTAATAATTGTTGTACTTCACAAGTCACATTAATTTGTTGACCAACGGTATCTTGACCTTTAACTACAAAAGTGTTGTAAATATTAGGCATCTTCTATGGAAAAAGGCTACATATAGTACCGACCCAATTATTTGGGAGATACGTCCCTGAAATTTTTTTTTAAGTGCGGAAACTTTAGGACCAAAGGTAATAGGATTGTCTATCATATTAATGAAAATAAACCATTTTTTTTGAAAAATTTTTCACTCAAAATAAATAAATAAATAAATTTTCTATAACAAAGAAAATTGATTTGTTAATTAATTAATTCAACGAAGAAATAAGAAATGGAAGTTATTACTCCCTCTAATTTCGTGGTACCGTCCAACTGATTCAATTCAATTGCTTTTATTTATTTTTTAAATTCCTTTGAATCTAATGATTGAATTTTCAAGTTCAACCAAGTCATTTTTAAAATTTCATTTAGATAAAATATTTGGAGAGTATTTCATTTGTCTATAATGATATACAAAACCGTCATTATCTATGAAATTCGAACCCAGATCGAACTTGCGATTCAATTTGTCTCTCCTATTGGTCCTTATTTCATATTTCATTTGCATATGATTTATACCCGACATAAATTTTTTACCTATTTCTTTTCGTGTACGAATTATATCCACTTTTACATTTAGGTAACATATACAACATATATCACTCCCAAAACAAGAGTGCATTTCTTATTATATTAGTTCGATCTTATTATTTTCATTCAAAATTTTCTTTGAAAAAAGGAAAGGATAACATCTTCCAAATTTGAAAAAAAAGAAAAAGGATTGGGTTGCGCCGTACATACAAAAGAGTATACAATTTGGCAAAGCAAATACCATGGTTTAGTTTAATAACGAACAAACCATTTGATAATATTAGTTGATCATTTGTGAACGATTACTGTGAAGTGAAAGGTTTCATTAATTCCTAAGAGTCTCTTTAGATATTCTTTTTTTTTAAGTTAGAATCTACTTTTAAGCTAAAACAAAAAAAAGAGCTTAAAAAAAATTTAAAAGTTATTTGGTGATTACATAAAATTTTTAGATTAAAAAGTTATTTAAAAGCAGACATTTCAAGAAAAATCTCTTTATCTCTCTCTATGTGTATCTCCATAGCCTTTCATTAAAAAAAACACACACAATTTAAGAAAAGTTGATAAGAGCTTAAAAAAAATTCGTCCTAGGAACTTTTGGCTTTTAACTTTTTTTATTTATTATAAGAGTTTTTCTTAAAACCTGTTTGGCCTAGCTTTTATTTGTAAGTAGCTTATAATTTAAAAATAAGAGGATCTAAACATGCACTAAATCATGTCGAGTAGACCGTGTTGTTGCGATAATTCTTAATTCTTGAGTTATAGGGAGAGAGAGATTTATGTTACCCCAAATAGAAACTAAAGCAAGTGTTGGGTTCAAAGTTGGTGTTTAGACTATAAATTGAGTTATTATACTCCTCACTATGAAACCAAAGATACTAATATCTTAACATCATTCCGAGTAACTCATCAAGAGTTCCACCTGAAGAAGCAAGTGCTAGCTGCCGAATCTTCTACCGGTACATGGACAACTTACAATACTTTAGGAATTAATTTTCTTAATATACGAAATAAACGTAAATATCGTCAACATGAACTAAATGTGATAAAATACCAAAAACTATATGAGAATTGGGACGAGTATTTGAAAATCAATCAGCAAATGTTATATACTCCTATTAAAGTCTCATGATTATTCAAAACAGAAAAATTAATAAAAATTATAACATGAAATGTATTGAAAACTCAAAAGATATTCAATGTTTTCTTTTTTAAATAATTAGGAGAAATATTAAACTGATTCATTAAGAGGATTTAAGATTTTCCAAGAGGATATTCCCAGAGTGGAAAAACATAAATAAAATCGATATGCATTAAATATGAGAATAAGGTAAAAATGAGCCAAATCTTTAGAAATTAATAATTTTAACATGGAAAACATAAATACAATCAATATTGAAAAAACGTGAGAGAAAAGAAAACATAAATGTAACCGATATCTTTTTTTAATTTTGATTCCTTTTTTTTTTTAGAAAAAATTTCTCAATCATATTCACAAAAAAGAGAGTAAGTCTCGTCATAAAGAGATGAGAAAAAAAATTAATGAAATTTTCTCACTTTTGTGTGAGCGTGATAAAAAAAATTTATGGAGCAAAAGCAGAAATATTTTTTCCTATATTCAAATATGTAATGCCAAATTCCAATGTGAGTTGTTTCTTTAATATTGTTGAATTCAATGTTACCTTATTTAAATAAATTAATTCAATCCTTTTTTTTTTGAAAGATAACTGCCATATATATACGTCCTAATATATTCTTTGTTATTCCCCGCTTTTGTTTTTAAGTATGTGGCCTTAAAAAAACTACTTCATTTTGTTTGTATTGTAAAATATTAATAAAGTATTAATTATTTTCTCAACTTTATGAGTGTCTCTTACTATTATCACTTAATGGAGGAAATAGAATTAATAAGGTCATAATATTTTAAAGAATTATGTTAATGTGGGCCTTCGGAGCATGTTAAAAAAACAGAAATTATTAAATAATTAGTTAGCTTCTGATAAATCTAAAAAGTATTTAATATGTTCTTCTTTATGTAACTAAAATAATTCAATTAAAATTTATAGATGCTATCTAATTTGTTAATACGCTAGAAGGGCAGAATCCTATTTTAGACATTTAAATACAATAATAACCTAGGTGGATATAATTTTATTTTATTTTTATCAACGCTATTTAATAACATTCTAAATTCTTGTGTAATTAGTTTAAGGGTATGTAAAACTGAGTTACTTTTTCCTTTATATTAAATATAAAATATAATTTAAATAAAAATAAAATGAGAAATAATCATGTCACCTTTCAATTAACTGGTCATCATTTTTGTACATAATTTATAACTTTAACAATTTTGAAAAAATTAATATTTTCTTTTTTTTTCTTTTCAAAATCCATCATCGAAATAAATGAGTGGATCCTCTTATTTATTATTTAACGTAATTATATTACGTGAAATGATTTTAATCATTAATAAATAAATTAAAGGTGATGATTTTGTTATTCCCTACTCTAATAGTTTTTTCTCTTTCTTCTTTTATTATCATTGATTAGTCCATAAATAATTAAGATCATCCTCTTACATGGTGTGATCATATTAAATAACACATAAGATAATTCATTCACTCCTAACAAAATTCAAATGATAAATAATAGAAAATAAAGTGTTAATATCTTAAAAACTTAAAACGTATTTCATATATTCTTTTTAAAAGAAACCGCCAAAAAGATATTAAGACTAATTCAGTAATAGAATTAAAATTCTTTATTTTGCAATTGTTTTCATAATCAAGCTCTTTTAAGCAATGGCACTTACTTACACGGAACAAAATTAATATTTAATAAAAACGTACCATTGATAAAATCACACAGGATGGTACATATTTTTTGTGGGTACACTGTAAGTAAGTATATAGATATGAACAAAGAAGTAGATATTCTTACTACCAAATTTCTTTACTACTAATTTACTATCTATCTAATCATCATTGAATCAAAGAGAGAGAATGCTAAAAAGTTTTTGAAAAAAGAGAAAATGTTGATCCAATGATAATTAGATAGGTAATAAGTTGATAGTAGAAAATTTTGGTACTCTCCTCGTGAACAAATAGACAAAAGAAAATAGTCTCAAGTTTATATTTTCCGTGATGAGTTGTTGCCATATGAGTGGTTTAAGCTAATTTAGTCAAATTATTGAAACTTGAAAGTCCCAAGGGAACAGTTTAGGAAAGATTGCTAGCACAGAGAGAGAGAGAGAAAGAGAGCCCCGTGGGGTGGATCTGTGCAACATTTTCATTTGTAACTTCATTTTCTTTCGTATCCCCAAAAAGTTACTCAAAAGGCATATTTCAATTTTCACAGTCATTCACAGGCTTTAAAGGGTTAAAGCAAATATCAAAGAGAGAGAGAGAAATAGAGTGAACACATATAAAGGTACAGAGAAAGAAAGAGAGTAATATCACAATATGAAGAGTCAACCAAACCTTTTTGGATGTATGTATTTGTAAGGCTTTCAAGAGTCCACATGTGCCCTTTTATTTGTGTCATTTTTTTTTTTCTTTTTTTTCTCTCTACTCTTTCCTTTCTTCTCTCCCTCTTATCTGTGCAAAAGTCCACAGGAGTTTCATTTTCTAACCATTTTCTTCAAATATTCATTTCTTTTTTCTTCTTCTTCTTTGAAGCTTTAGCATATAGTCAAGCTTAGCGGTTGGCATGCAGAGAACGAGACGACACACACTGAACTGAAGACGCCATGTTAGCCTTTGATTTATAAGGAATGAAGAGCAAAGTAGTAATGAACTTTTATTTTTTAAATCTTTTTTCTCTCTCCAAATAACAGTAGGAAAAAAAAAACAATTTTTTTTTCTTTATCCTTTCCTCTCCTCTTATCTATTTTTCCTTTTTTTATTCCTTAAAGCTTTAAAAGGTTAGATTTTGATTGTCATATCAAGAATATAAAGCTGATACTGAGAAACCCATTTCATATTTTGAGGTGCTCTCTGGCTTGGAAATTCTGGGGTTTGTTGAATAGACACAAGTTATCATTCACTGCTCGATTGTCAAAAGAACAAAGTAGGGGGGGAAAAGAAGAAGAGGAAGGGGAAAAGTGGCTACTTTGATGAGTTTTGGGGGGTTTCTTGAGAACAAATCAGGTGGTGGAGGTGCTAGGATTGTAGCAGATATACCTTACAGCAACGGTATCAACCACAATAATAACAGCATCAACAACGATACAATGCCCTCTGGTGCAATCTCACACCCTCGATTAGCCACTCCAACTTTGGTTAAATCCATGTTCAACTCTCCTGGGCTCTCTCTGGCACTTGTGAGATAGATACATAGATACCTTCTTCATTGATACTTTCTTCTTCATTGATACTTTCTTCTTCTAAAGTTTTGTTAAATTTGATCAGGGTTTTTAGTACTATTGCTTATTTGTTTACCCTTTTTTTTTTTCTTTGGGAAAAATTCAGCAAACTAATATAGATGGACAAGGTGATGTGAACGAGAATTTTGAGACAAATGGTTTGAGAAGGAACAGGGAAGAAGAACATGAAAGCAGATCTGGCAGTGATAACATGGATGGTGCTTCTGGTGATGATTTTGATGCTGCCGACAATCCACCCAGAAAAAAGCGTTATCACCGACACACTCCTCAGCAAATACAAGAACTTGAAACGTATGATAATTTTTCTTTTTTCCATAAAAAATTTCACCTTTTTGAAAGCTTCCTTCTTCCAACACTGCATAAATTTTTTAACTTTTTTTTTTTATGGTGGGGTTTATCTGAGTTTTTTATTATCTTACGGATTTTAGGCTGTTCAAGGAGTGTCCTCACCCAGATGAGAAGCAAAGACTTGAACTCAGCAAAAGGCTTTGTTTGGAAACGAGGCAGGTGAAGTTTTGGTTCCAAAATCGAAGAACCCAAATGAAGGTAACACAGTTTTTTCAACACTTTTACTAGTCATTTTCACATGGAATTGTTACTTGCTTTTTGGGGTTCTGATATGTTGTTGTTTGTATGTACCAGACTCAATTGGAACGCCATGAGAACTCGCTGCTAAGGCAAGAGAATGATAAGCTTAGAGCGGAGAACATGTCTATGAGGGAAGCTATGAGGAACCCTATATGCTCAAACTGTGGAGGTCCAGCTATTATCGGTGAGATTTCACTTGAAGAACAGCATATTAGGATTGAGAATGCTCGATTGAAGGATGAACTAGACCGAGTTTGTGCCCTTGCTGGCAAGTTTTTAGGTCGCCCCATTTCTTGTTTAACAAGCTCAATTGGTCCTCCATTGCCAAACTCAAGTTTGGAGCTTGGTGTTGGCAGTAATGGTTTTGATGGTTTGAACACTGTCCCTTCAACATTGCCTTTGGGGCATGATTTTGGGGTTGGGATATCTAGCCCTTTAGGCATGGTATCACCTCCAACAAGAGCAACAACTTTGGTCACTGGCTTTGACAGATCAGTAGAAAGGTCTATGTTTCTAGAGCTTGCTTTGGCTGCAATGGAAGAGTTGGTGAAGATGGCTCAAACTGGGGACCCTCTTTGGATCAGAAGTTTAGAAGGTGGAAGAGAAATTCTGAACCATGAGGAATACACAAGGATAATGGTTCCTCCTTGCATTGGCTTGAGACCAAATGGTTTTGTCTCAGAAGCCTCTAGAGAAACTGGCATGGTCATCATAAACAGCTTGGCCCTTGTTGAAACTTTAATGGACTCAGTAAGCAATTCAACTACCAATTCATTTTTCTCCAACTTTTTCCCCCCCTCCCTTTATTATTCTTTGTTGTTTTTCCAATTTTATGTTCAAATATATTTATGTGTGTGTGTGTGTGCGGAGAAAGAGAGAGAAACTTATTTGCTTTCTGTTGCCACAGAATCGATGGTCAGATATGTTCCCTTGTATGATTGCAAGAACCTCCACAACTGAAGTGATATCTAGTGGAATAAATGGAACCAGAAATGGTGCCCTTCAACTAGTAAGTTAAAAATTGTTTTCTTCCAATTAGTTTTTCTTTCTTTAAAAGTGGTGGATTTTATTATTATTATTTTAACCACAATTTTTTTATTTTTTTTTATTCTCAGATGCATGCTGAACTTCAAGTCCTTTCGCCCTTGGTTCCTGTCCGTGAGGTCAATTTTCTACGCTTTTGCAAGCAGCATGCAGAAGGGGTATGGGCTGTGGTAGATGTGTCCATAGATACCATCCGAGAAACTTCTGGTGCACCCACTTTTCTGAACTGCAGAAGGCTTCCTTCTGGTTGTGTGGTGCAAGATATGCCAAATGGTTACTCTAAGGTAAATATTTTGCCAAGTTTCTTTCTGGTTGTTAATATGGGAATGACTGGTTTTATGTTCTTACCGCATTTTTAGAATCTGCAATTTTTTGAAGACAGTAAAAATGATTTAGATTCTGCCAAACGTTGGGTTCTGAATAGTTTTGATAATGGGTTTTATTAATCTATAGGTATCTTATATTGTAGAGAGAAACTAGGTGGGTCCCACCATTACAAGAAAAAAAAAAAAAATGAGGTACAAAAATTGAAGTGAGAGAAAATGAAATAAGCTACCTTATGTAAAAGGAGACTAATATTTTCCTTTGTTAATACAGGGCCACCTACAAAACCGTACTATCTCACTTTCCTTTGATGTTTTCATCTCATTTAAATATTGTATTTTTTTTTCTTCAAGTGGGGGCAAGTATCTGCAACATGGTAACTTAGTTGAGCAATATTTAAAGAGGGGCCAAAACACCATGCTAAGGAATCATGGGGCTTTTGCTTTTCCAAGCTACTTAAAAGAGAGCTCATGGTTCGAAGTAACTATAAGCTTGTTTAGTGACTACTCACTCTAGAACCACTCTGTCAGTGATGATTCCCTTATTATATTTTTAGTCTCTCAAAGAATTTGACCCTCAGCTAGGATGCTTCCCCTTGTCTCAATTTTATTCCAAACTTCAGTTTTCAACAATTGATTTTGATCCCATAAAACTATTTGAGTAATGCACCATGTTGCATGAATCTAGGCTAATCCATTAATTTATTCATAGAAGCCTCCGTCACTTAAATTTCTGTATCATGAAACACATTAATTACATATCCCTTTCAAGAAATTTGCTTTGTAATTTTCCACCTACTTTTTTTATTCTATAAACAATTCATATGATGTTTCTATTCCAATCTACTTTTATGCTACATTGGCAGTTCCCCAAGCATTATTTAATTCATGAGACTGTATATGACCTGGTTCCAGCCCTATAATCCATAGGTCTGTTATTAAAAAAATAAAATAATATTCAGTGCAGATCCTGTGGGTCAAGATCAAAGACTAGACATTTTGTCTTTTTCTTATATGAGTGTTTTGGATGAGTTCACCACACTGCTATAACAAATCTCGATGTTCCATTACAGTGCACGTAGCTACTCTATAACCCGGATAACTTTATCTTATACCAATATTTTATGTACCTTGTCTATAGTTGAGCTCAATCTTCAGTCTTTTCCAAGATTTGTTTTTTTATTTACATAAAATTATTTGTTGTCCTTATGCAAAATAACTAGATCATGATTTCACCAATTAACTAGTTTGTCCTCGGTATACCACTGCGGTAATACTTGATCTTCAAAATAAATGACACAATACTTAGTAACTCATAAATTAACACGTCCATTTTGTAGCATGAATTCAAAATCAATATCACATAATACATGTATAGAAACTTGTCCAATGGTGGGTATGAGTGAGTATATATATATGACATGGTTGATTTGGGTGAATATGCAGGTGACATGGGTGGAGCATGCAGAATATGACGAAAGCCAAGTTCATCAGCTCTACAGGCCCTTGTTAAGATCAGGGATGGGCTTTGGTGCACAACGTTGGGTTGCCACCCTTCAACGCCAATGCGAGTGCCTAGCCATCCTTATGTCCTCAGCAGCTCCCTCTAGAGAACACTCAGGTATATATACATCAAGGGAAATTATTCTTATATATATCGATATAATAAATTTTAGATCATTGATTTGGTTGCATCTATAATACATATCTAATAAACCAGAGCCGTTAGCTAGATACAAATAGCATATGTAATACATATCTAATAAATCAAAGCTCTTAGGTGTACATCCAAATTAAAAATATAATTTACACTAATGTAAAATGATCGTGACCTGTATATATTGTATTCAGGCTCAGGATTATTTTGTTCATCCCATTTATATATAACGTTTTTAATTTTTTAATTATATGAGTCGTTGGATAGAAGCAAATCAATGATTGAGTGTAATACTTCTTAACCTAGTAACTTGTATACACACGCTAACATGTGACTCAGGGACAACACCAACATGCACATGGTCTAACCTAAGGAGTTGTGTTATATGTGTATGCAGCAATAACCTCAGGTGGAAGGCGTAGCATGTTGAAGCTGGCGCAGCGCATGACAAACAACTTCTGTGCTGGTGTATGTGCATCAACGGTGCACAAATGGAACAAGCTGAACGCTGGGAACTTTGGTGAGGACGTGAGGGTGATGACAAGGAAGAGCGTGGACGATCCAGGTGAACCACCGGGAATTGTGCTGAGTGCAGCCACCTCCGTGTGGCTCCCAGTTTCACCACACAGACTCTTCAATTTCCTAAGAGACGAGAGGCTTCGAAGCGAGTGGGATATACTCTCCAATGGTGGACCCATGCAAGAGATGACTCACATCGCCAAGGGTCAAGACCATGCCAACTGTGTCTCCCTCTTACGAGCCGGTGTATGCATTTCAATCATCACTTTCCATTTTCAATATCATTCTTTGCTACTAAAACATATTAGTTAGGTGGTATATGCTTAATTCTTTTTAGATTAAATACTTTTTTGTTATCAAACGAATTTCACGATACCCGCTTTAGTCTCTAACAAATAAAAAGGTTCGTCCTTAAAAAATTCAAAATGAACACATTTAGTTAAAATCATAATCCCTCACAAATTCTAAAAAAACCAATATTAGTCCTCAAAAGGACTAAAATGATTCCATTTTGTATTTATTAAGGACTACGATGAACCTTTTTATTTGATAGGGACTATAGCGGGTATCGTAAAATTTGCGGAGGACCAAAAAGAATATTTACTCTTCTTTTTAACAGAATTATTTAATGTAGAGAATATATGTGATTTATTAAAAAAAAAAAACATCATCCTTTTCTTTATTATTATTAGAGGTTATAAATATAGTTTTTGCATTTTAGGATTTGTTAAGAGTAATTTTTTATGTTTTTTAATAATAAAATTCCATAAAATATGATTTGAATATTGTATGAAGAAACGTCGATCTTGCTTTGTCGTTTAGTTTTGGGATAAAAAGGTAAAATTTGAGAAGGACAGGTTTGGAAAATTTGGAAGTATCTATGAGAACAATTTGCGGCAGAAATAGGACAGTGTTTGTTTCAGTAAACTTTTGCAAAAAGTCAAAATACAGGACTTTTGTCAACTTTCTATGTTTTCTCACTTCTGACCTCATTATTTTATGTTAAATTTTGAAAAACAAAATTTAGAAGAAGAGATAAAAAAAAAAAAAAAAAAGTGGTCCAGGGTTTGACTAGCTCTCACATTGAATTTAACGACAACGACAACTCGAAATTTTTTCTTATTTTTTTGTTTTTGTTTTTGTTGCAGGCTATGAATGCGAACCAGAGCAGCATGTTGATATTGCAGGAGACATGCACAGACGCGTCGGGTTCGCTTGTGGTGTACGCGCCGGTGGATATCCCCGCCATGCACGTCGTGATGAACGGCGGTGACTCGGCGTACGTGGCGCTTCTTCCGTCGGGGTTCGCCGTCGTCCCCGATGGATCCGGCGGTTGCGGTGAAGGTCATGGTGGCGCGTCTCAGCAGAGGATGAGTGGGTCCCTTTTGACGGTGGCGTTTCAGATACTTGTGAACAGCCTCCCCACGGCGAAGCTCACGGTGGAGTCGGTGGAGACGGTGAACAACCTCATTTCGTGCACTGTTCAGAAGATAAAAGCAGCACTTCAATGTGGGAGCTGAATGTCACGTGACACACACATCGATTGTCACGTGAACTCTTTTATTTTTTTTTATATTGGTGTTAAGTTGTTCTTTATTTTTGAAATTAACATTTGTAGTTTAAGATGCATTAGGTGGCGCGTGTAAAGGACCCGAGGGGTGGGGGTGTTGAGTCAAGAACGAACCGCGCGTGTTGATAATACTCCTTGCATGGTGGTAAGGATCCGAGACACGAACGGGTCAGGATCTTTAACACAAGGCAAGGGTGGTGGTTCGGGTATTGACTCGGGTCGACCCCTTGTCTGCTCTACTAGTAGCAGAGAAAAAACAAAAAACGAATAGAAATGTTGAAAACATGGAGGAAAAAAAAATAAAATCTTTTGATTTGGTGTATTTATTATAAGTGTTTTATTAGTGTTATGTTACATGATTTAAGTGTTATTTTCGACACACAAAAAAAAATGGAGAGAGTGTGGAATGATGAAAGAGAAAGAAAAACATGTGGACTCCACTTCTTTAATGTGTGTGTAGGAAAATGATGTTATATCATGTTACATGATAAACATAAAACCCTTATTATAATGTTGTCATCTTGATTTGTATTTGACTTGAGTTTACTAGAATTGGATCTAGTTTGTTGAATATGATGAAATCAATAATTTGTTTTTTACGGGGATAGTTATACTTACCACTAGGTAAGTTTACTATCCTTACCACCAATTTTATCACTGTTAGATTAAAATTAATTCTAACGGTCTTTAATTATTCCTTATAATCTTAATTTTTCTCCCACATTCCCTTTATCTTTCTCTCTCTAGGTTTCCATACCCTTTCTCATCCTCTCTTCAAACTTTCGATCCTGCATCTATTCCTGGGTAAGTTCGAGTTGAATTGGATGCTAATTCAGGTTGAGAAAAAAAAAGTTTTCATTATGACTATTGATGGATTTATTTCTGTTAATTGGCCAAAAGTTATTCAGGAACAAATGGCCAAAAGTTTGAGTTGAATTGGATGCTAAACAATTGGCCAAAAGTTATTCTGTTGATTGCTCGCTCTTCATAATACTGGTGGGATTAGGGAGGGTCTTGTGAATTCTTTTTTTTTTTGGTAATCTGTGAATACATTTTTTATAATTATGAACTATTATTTCTATTAATCTGATCATCTTCCCTACAAAGCGCACAACAATTGAAGAGAGGATGTGCAGCGAGTTAAAATGAGTTGTCACAGAGAATCGATATCGAAAGCGCACAACAATTGAAGAGAGGATGAGAGAGGGTATGGAAACTTAGAGAGAGAAAGGCAAAGGGAATGTGAGAGAAAAAATTAGAATTATAAGAGATATTTATGGACCGTTAGATTTAATTTTAATCTAACGGTGATGAGATTGGTGATAAGGGTGGTAAATTTACCTGGTGGTAAGTATAACCATCTTCTTTTTTATATATAAAATTAAGTTCATACGAGATTTTTCTTTGCTCAACTTTAGTAATTTGATGTGTCCTTCATTTGTGTAATAAATTTTGGTATTTATTTGATAAAATTAATGAATATTTGATAATATTAACACCGTGAACATCATCTTGAATAAAATTTTACAGACGCCATATGATACTTATATAATTTTAAGAGATGCATAACATAGAGTAAGGATATTCTAACTACCAAAAATTCTTACTACTAACTTACTACCCATCACATCATCATTGGATCAAAGAGAGAGAATGTTAAAAAGTTTTTGAAGAGAGAGAAAATGTTAATCTAATGGTGATTAGATAGGTAGTAAGTTGGTAGTGGAAAATTTTGGTAGAAAAAATATCCCTCCTCCGTAACATAAAGTAACTACTAACTACAATGAAACACTCAAAAAAGTATGTTACGTACTTCACGTATAAATATCATCACTACGTAATATATTATTACTATTTTTTTTTTTTGGTAAACATATTATTACTATTTTATATTAAATAATAATATACATTTTTGTACGTATTGTGTTTATTATGTAATGTATGCGACTTGTTCAAACAAGTTTTATAAAACTATTTTGGGAAATATTTGAAAATCCCTGTCTGCTTTGCTCAAGAATGATTTATTTCTTTATTTTTAATCGTTAAAATAAAGAACCCATTAAACATCATATTTTATATTTTACATAAAAAGTAAATAATTTTATATAATCTAATCTTAATTTAAATACATTAAGAGGGAAAAAAATTATGTTCATTTCAATTCTCCTTTTTCTCACAATGAGATTTTAAACTTTTTTTGTGGACAACAAATTCAAATGGATGTTAAACAAGACCCCTCATATACGCTTGTTTAGTTACATGTTGTTCATCAAGAGTTTTCATTTTGTAATTATTATAAGGGAAAAGTTTGAAAACTCTCATAATATATTATATTTTATCACTTAGCTCCTTGTTTTTCATTTTTTTAATAATGTTAAAGGTGAATTTAGATAGAAAAAAATTATAATAAAAGTAAATAATAGAAAAGTATAAGAATACGGTACTTACATATACCCTTTGTGAAAATAAATACGGTACTTACAAGTCTTTAGTTTTTTTTTAGTAATTAGGACTTCCTTTTTATAAATTTTTTTTTTTATATCAACCTAATTACTTTTTTGATGCAAAATGATTTTGGGTATTATCACAAGTTTTAATTCTTTGAGTTGACTATAAGATTAATTTCGAGTCCGAACTAAGACTCAGTTAAAATTTTCTACCTTTCTATATATATATATATATATATATATATATATATCTTATAGTATATACAATTATTCACAATTGAGTGAATATTTTTTAAAACTTTCTCTTCCTAACATTTGCTCTTCGTTGACAACTCATATTTTGAGCTAAAATCCTATAGATATGAACATATGACTTGTGTGTTTTGAAAGTTGCGAAGGAGCATCATTGGTGATGAGGGGTTGTTATTCCACGCGCCGTTTGGTGGCAGTTGCAGTAAAACCAACTAAACACTAAGTAATAGAATAAGAAATTTAAGTTAGTAAAAATGTGCGTGACAATTGACAACGATCTTGTTTACCAGTATTATTTGTTAAAAGAAAAAAAAATCTGTTCTATTTCTATATCTTATAAGAGATTTTGAGGGAAAATGCATTTAATAACGCATTTTAATAAAATTTCTTAGATTTTTGGTGGTGACGAGTGAGTACTCTGCCATTGCATTAAATGAGAGAGCAAAAATTGTTGGGAGAAGCGTTGCCTTCATTTAATGCTATAGCTTTGGCATCGTCTACATGGTTACGTTAGCCTACCCAATTAGACTTTGACAAAGCATTATCTGACACAATATGCTAATCAATTTTAAAAGTTATCACTATCTTCCTAATCAATAAATCTTTACTACATTATTTTATCGAAAATTCAGTGTATTTATTTAATTATTTTATGATATATGAATAAAAAATATCATATCATTTAAAAAATAGATAATATGATTTTTTTTACCTACTTGTTACAAAATAAATAGACAAATATATTAAATTTAGTGCATCTGATCCACTAAAATTATTCCTTCCTAACCAGCTAGCAAGTCAATTTTCTTGTTCGATTAATCTTGCCCCAAAAGTAAATATGAGAATGGATTTTTTAATTACAATGTAAGATAAAAAAGGGAAAGAGTTTATGTCACATAAGACAATTATCTTATGTTGTATACTTATAGAATTTTGTGTCTATTTTTCCTTTTTCTTTTTATTTTTTTAAAAAAGTTCACAATTTTATTTCACTCACATGATATAACTATATTTATGACATAAGATTAATAACTCTCATAAAAAATAAGACAAAAATTAACTACTTAAGATGAAAAGTAATTTTTTTTTTAATTTCACACAAGAATTAAAAAATTCTCCCTCTCTAGATATATATAGATAAATGCTAAGAGGATATTTTTCAATTGGTACTGTTGAGAACAGTATCAATTTTGGAAGATTATAAAGTGATTTGACTATTGCTTCCACAAGGCACAAACAGATGTCCCATCTTAGCTAATAAGTACATGCATTTCATATTTCCAAATAATGTGAATACAAGATATGGGAATCTTACCAGTCACCATATATGTGTGTAAAATGATCTTTTTGGCCCACTTTAGGGTTCCAACCTGTATACAAATATAAATTTCTTGGTCAATCAATTGTTTTCAACTGAAAAAATGCATGCTACAACTTACCACTCAATCAATGTCTTACACTTCATTCACAATTGCCAATATTATTGGAGACAATTCACATTGATCCCTTGTTCACCCATAGCCCAATTGCGCATCTGTGGGCCTCCCTTGTGGAGCCCTTTCTAACAAAATCTTAAAAGGGCGTTTGGTACTAGAAATTTTTTTTTTATCTTGAGAATTTCGATTTTCAAAAATATAATTTTTACATTTAATATACGAATATACGGTAATATCCAAAAATTTAAAATTTAGAAAAATTCAATATCTCGAAAATTCAGAAAAATACTTCGTATCAAACGGCCCTTAAATATCTGCTTTTTGGACTTTAAATCCATCCACTATATGTCATTCCTCACGCTCTGTATGTGAATCAACGATGGGAGTTTAGAGATTTGAAGGATTTTCTAAGAAAATAATATATAGCTGTACATATAAGCAAGTATCCAAAAAAGAGTACAAAGTATAAAAGGACTCAACATGTAAATAGAACAGAGAAATATTGAACCTTGTAATGGAGTAACAAGTCCTTAAAGCATCTAATTTACCTAAAAAGTTAAGTTGAAAAGTGAAGATCTATCAATATTTTTTATATTTATTTAACATATTTCTTCACCCAAAAACTTATTGGGTTGAAACATGGATCGAACTTCATTTAAAAGTAGAGATTGATGAGAATTGAACTCGTAATTCACTAATTCTTAATTACATAGACTCTCATGTAAAACAATCAACTTAACAGCTCAACCTAGTAAGTGAAGAGGATCAATAGTTTTTTATATCTTCTAACAAATTATTTTTTGTTTTATTTTCTCATTCATTGAAAGTGAAGGACCCACTTTTGAATTTACAACACAAACTACAATCCAACCGTTGAACCTAGCCCCAATATTATATATATATATATATATATATATATATATATATATATATATATATATATATATATAGAGAGAGAGAGTAGGATCCTTTGACACCAGTGTCAAATTTGAAATTTGATACCTCATCTGAGAGCCGTTAGATCAAAAAAGATCAATGGTGTCACATGTTCACAAATCAGAGCCATTGATCTTTTTTAATCTAACGGCTCTCAGATATATATATATATATATATATATATGGAAAAAATATTTCTCCGGCAACTTGAGATAAGTTTATCTCCGGCCACCCTAAAACTACGTCGTTTGGTTTATTTATTTCCTTATATTAATTGATTCACCCTTGAATGGTTATGATTCCCTTTTTCTTTTT